AAAAAAAAAAAAAGTGAGACTCTGTCTCTAAAAGTAAATGAATAAATAAATAAATAAAAGAAATTATTCCTCTTTCTCTCCATCAGCCAAAGTTTTTTTTTTATGTTTATTTTTTGTTTCATATTCATTGAGGGTACAAAGAATTAGGTTACACTGATTGAATTTGTTAAAGTCCCTCTTATAGTTGTGTCCCTCCCCCAACAGGTATGCTATACACCATGACCCCCCCATCCCCCACCTTTCTCCCCTCTCCCCACTTGTTCATTCCCCTATCCCCCTCATTAGCTCATCTACTGCCTTCATATTAGAACAGAGTACATTGGACTCTTGCTTCTCCATTCTTGTGATGCTTTACTAAGAAGTGTTCCACCTCTATTCAGTTAATACAAAAGATATAAAGTCTCCATCTTTGTTAGTGGCTGAATAGTATTCCACGGTATACATGTACCATAGATTGTTAATCTATTCCTAAGTTGGTGGGCATTTAGGCCATCAGCCAAAGTTTTAAAACTAATAAAACAACAACAAAAAATAAAAATCTAAATAATAAAACTGATAACTTCTAGCCACCATGAACTAATGTTGCTTCAGTTAATTGATAATTACAGACCAAAGCAAAGAAACTTGGCCTTATTGAAAGTTAATGTATGATTTCCATTATCTTAATACTAAAACCAGTCAATGGGTCTTCAACCTACCCAACCAACGAGTATTATGAAGCCTCCCAAGGGATGAGCCCAGGCTCTAGGTTAAGACATTCTGCACCAATCTAAAATCTTCTTTAACAAGCCTAAAATAAACTATTAAATAAACTCTACCATAACTTACCTAATGTAAATGTATCTCAAAAACAAACCTTTAAGTCAGCGGTTCTCAACCTGTGGGTCGTGACCCACAGGAACTGTATTAAAGGGCTGTGGCATTAGGAAGGTTGAGAATAAATGCTTTAAGTCTTTAACAACCACATGCAGCAGTTACAAAGCATAAATAATAACTTCCAAAAAGAACATGCATACAATTCACTAACTAAAACCTTGAGAGTTCAGGATACTTTGTGAATCAATAGGTAGTATAACTTCCTTAGTGAGCTTCACGTAAGCCATGAATATGATGGGTAATTCTTATCACTTTGCTTTGATGAGAAAGATTAAAGTTTGCATCCCTATGTCTTTGATTAAAAACTGGTTCCATCTAAGCTAAGAAGACCACAGTTTGCATTTATGACATTTATGACTACATCTTAGGGAGGAAAATACCTAATACCATAAAGGAGGACAGAATATAACCCTTCCTAATCAGATCAGCAAATCAACTCTCACATCTTACAAATAAAGAAGGGGCAGACAGAAAATCTGAATCATAGGAGAACTTGAAACTTAGACCCTTGAAACACTTTATAAGAGGGATTTACTATACTTTTACTAGTAAGAGGATAAATACACTTGGAGTGATTGAGTGACTGATGTAGAAAGCTTAATGATCATTTTTTTAAAACTAAAACATCATACATACATATGAGTACATGTATTCTGGATCATGAAATACTTGAAGTAACAAGATTTTCTATCACCAACGTCCTCATATTGCTCCTGGGAAATAGAATTAGCTCATTTCTTTTCATCCCACCAAAATCAGGGTGCCCCATTAAAAATCAGGCATCTTGAATTTCTACACTGACAATATTCAGTTATGTGACCATGTGCAAATTACAGAATCTCTCTGGGCAAAAAGTGCATTACTCTAACGCATAGAAGAGCCAAGAATTTGAGTCTCATTACTGCCCATGACTTCCCATACCAAGATCAAATAAGGTTCCATGTAACCCATATTTTCCTCCAGCAGTTTCCTTTAATAATCATGAATTTTAAAATTATTTTTAAATGATCACTGCAGATTACAAAAAGATTTGATATATTTAAATTTGTTCAAATCTTCTATAATATAACCTGCCCTTACTAAACCTCTGGCATGTATTAAGCAGGTTTCTCCAAAGTGGAAATAAGACTTAGATATTTGTTTTTAAAAATTATGATTTACAACAGAAAACAAGAAAGCCAGAGGATTTACAGGAAAATGCAGCAGAAATATCCAGAAATGCTGAGAGGTTGTCCTTGATGGTGAGACTATGGGTGAACATTCTTTCTGTTATATAGCTATACCTAATTTAAATAATAGCCTTATAAAACGTATAGGGTGTCTCTCACTCTAAATACTAACTAGGTTAAGTCACAAAAGTCATGACACCAGAGAAGCAGGAAAACACTGCAAAAGGGGCAAAGAGTTTATGAACAATCTAACAATCTAATTCTATAGCATGTAGCCCACCAAAAGGACAAGGAGACCCTTCTCATCTGAGAAACATTAAAAAAACCTACAATATTTTTTATGCAAAGAATGACATCATTTCTGTTCCCACACAACTGAAACGTGGTGTAAATAAGCCGTACTTTTATAGAACCTCAAATACTCTTGCAGCCGCCAACACCCTTGCAGTTTCCCCAGCCCACGTGTCTACTCTCCAGACTGAAGGGTCTGTATTCAATTGTCCCTCTTTGAGAACCTTACTCATAATCGCTACTCGCTGAGGAGTATGAACCCGAGTCGCTGGCCCGATCTTCAGAATCACAATCCTGATCTTCTTGTGAACAGGGTTCTCCAGCAAGCTCATCTGGGCTCGGACGTGAATCACACAAAGCCGGAGACGCCATGGTTTGGGATGCAGTTGCTAAAACTAAAGTGATTCAAATCCTGCAGCTGCGGCTCCCCAGGGCCGCCATCTTGCCTCTGCTAGGGACGCGACAGAGGCCACGTGACCACCAATCCTTAGCTGCAATTGGCGGCAGCTCAGGTTGCCAGGGAAACGGGGAAGCTTCCCAGAGAGTAGGAGGAGGACTGAAAGGGGCCAATGAGCTGCTGAGTTGAAACAATAGAAGTAGCTGAAAGTTCACCGCTTACGCTTCTCTCAACTTCATCTTAGAGCATAAAACAGGCGGAGACCCGCTGTTTTTTCCCATTTTCTTCTAGTGCTGGGTATCTTCCAGTTTGCACTTTGTCATGTGTTTATGCAGAACAGGTAGCTTTATTAACGCCTTAGAGGTGGGCAGCCAGAGTTTCCCTTTGAAGTCTAGGAAACTACTCCCTACCTTTCCTTCAGGCCTCATCCAGCAGAGAAAGAATGCTTTTAAGCAAGGCCATCTAAGGTTAAAGTAACTACGTTCCTTTGGCTTTCTATTGTTTTACAATTATAAACATTTTTACAAGCAGGTATTGTAGAGTGCTTCAAAATGGGTAGCAATAGCACTGAAATTGGAAGTGTAAACAGTAAAATTTATCATTTATGAATACCTACATCAAGTAGTTTTTAGAAGTACAAAATAATAGCATTGAGTCAGCTTTTGTTCCAATTATCTGCTTTACTCAGAGGTAATGCTAAGGATCCCCATACTATAAAGTAAATATTTCCTGTATATTAAAATAAAGAAACTGAGGTTTAGAAAAGTTATGCATCTTGTAATTTGGTTATATAGCCAGCAGGCAAGAAAGCCAACCAAGAAATGAACATAAATCATTAACCTTTACATTTTCTTCATCAGGACTCAATAATTCTACTATTAGAGATCTAGTCTAACGGATGCAAACATAAAATTTGTAAAAGTGAAAAGCTGAAAGTAATCTAAAAATTCCAACAATGGGGAAAAGTTAAATACATATTCACAAATCAGATATGATAAATATGATAATTTTCATTTAAAGATATTTCAATAGATTTAGGGGTACAAGTAGTTTTGGGGTACATGAGTGAATAGTGGCTATGTGTGGGTTTTTAGTGTACCTGTCACCCAAATAGTGTACATTGTACTCCATGGGTAATTTTTCTTCTTTCAGTCCTCTACCACCTTCCCTCCTCTGAGTATCCAGTGTCCACTGTACCATTCTGTATGCCCCTGTGTACCTGTAGCTTAGTTCCCACATATTATATTATAATTTCAAGTAGAAGTGATTGCAAAGAGTAATGCATGGAGGAAATGTTCATGTACACTAAGTAAAGGAAGAATATAATGTTATTTCAATTCAATGTCTAGGTGCTAGGGATTCAACTTAAACTAGATGGACAGATGGAGGAAATTGAAAGGCAAATGGATAATTATAACATACAGTGATAAGTAAGGGGTTCTGAGGGACTACTCAGAGAAAGCCAGACTAGTATAAGTGGGGACACAGCAAATTCTTAGAGGAAGCCTTACTTTGTCTTGCTTTATGGGGTGGTTCCAACAGAGAAGAGTAGGAAATGAGTTTCACATGGTTCATAGTGGTGCATGGAGAACGCAAAAGAATCTGGACAGTTGTAGTTGTAGGGGTAGGAAAACTTCACCTTCCTTCTCTTAGGGTCCTAGCTGAGTTGGAGAATTAAACTAAAATAAAATCGGTTAACAGGAGAAAAATATAATATAAGTTTTATATTATGGCAAGGGAGTTCTCATAGAGAAATGACCCAAAGAATCAGAGTTAGTTACTACTACACTGGATTGGACAAAAAATAGTGATGAAGAAGCAACTAAATTATGTGAGGAGACTTAAAAGATAAGTTATTTTAACATGATCTATACAGAATTCTCTTCTACTTCTCATCCTTGAGTGTAGGAATGTTGCATCTTTTGAGTATTAGCAGAGTGTCTTTCAAATGGGAATTTCTTCTTCTGCTTTAAGAAATAGCATGAAGGTCAAAGTGATCTTTTTGCACTTGCTGTTTTTCAAGTGTGTTTAACTTACTCGATATGCCAGGATAGTATATTTTAAACCTCTTATACTCACACAAGTCAAACGATATTTACATTATTAAGCTATAATTTAGTCTCCTCTGTTACATTAAATTTTATACATTTGAATTTCTTAGGTTTTAGCTGTACTCATTTCTAAATGTACTTTTTTTTATTAAATCATAGCTGTGTACATTAATGCTGTTAAGGGGTACAGCGTGCTGGTTTTATATACAATTTGAAATATTTTCATCTAACTGGTTAACATGGCATTTTCTTAGTTATTGTGTTAAGACATTTATATTCTACATTCTAAATGTACATTTTTGTAGTTTTATAGCAGTTATTGACTTTTACTTTCTCTTTTTTATATTAATTCATAAAATTGTATCTTATACAAGAGCTATAAAACACAGTTTATACTTCGTTTATTAAAAATTATAATAGGGACTGGGCATGGTGGCTAATGCCTATAATCCCAGCACTTTGGGAGGCTGAAGCAGGAGGACCTCTTGAGCCTAGAAGTTAAGAGACCAGCCTGGTAACACAGGGAGACACCCTCTCCACAAAAAATAAAATCAGTCAGCAGCATGGTGGTGCATACTTATAGTTCCAGCTATTTGGTAAGCTGAGGCAGGAGGATCGCTTGACTCCAAGAGTTGGAGGTTGCACTGAGCTATGTCTCTAACAACCAATATATATATATATGAACTACGTATAATCAAGAAGCTTCAATCATTCCCAGAAATCCACGAGAGTTTTTTCCTTAAAGCCCATAGTACTCAAATTGGAAAATGGGAGACTAGTCTGTAAACAGATAATGAGCACAGGGAGGTCCCTGAGTGGCAAGAGGGAATAGTACCCAAGGCACAGATGGTACGATGTGACCTCCCAGGACAACTCTCCCCTTAAAGCTAGAGGAAAGGGCCACAGGAGGGTGCTGAGGTGGATGCTGAGTTGCCAGTTTCAGCAGGAAGCTGAGGCAGTATCCATGTGATGGTGTTTATTGTCGCTGGCCCTTGCCAGCTGAAAGTGATGGAGGAAGTAATGAGGTCAGTAGTTTGAAGAGGCTGGAGCCAGGAAGGAAGGCAAACAGATATTTCCATCAGCACTGAGATCCAATAAAAATGTGTTATTTTTAAAATCAGAGAAAATTATTTTTAAAAGTTGGTGTCATTTTAATAGTTATTTTATGTTTCATGGTAAAACATATGTACTTACTCTCACCACAATCTGAAACATTAAAAAGTACTTAAGATACCATTCCAAAAATAAAAAATGCTTTAGGCACCTCTTTAATAAATTAGCCTTTCCTCATTTTAAAGCAGCTTACTGAAAGTAAAAAAAAAAAAGAAAAGAAAAGAAAAGAAAAAGACATTTTAAATTGTAGTAAAACATTACATTTTCTTTCCACAATTTTTTCTTCCATTTTTTTCTAGAAGCATCTAATAATTTCCTACCCTGCTTCATACACCTTCAATGACACTTTCTTAAATGGGGAATAAAGTCCAAACTGTATAATTTCTTTTTAAAGGTTTTTTCCAATTCTACAAATAACTGAGCATGAATTAGGAGTTAGATGATTTTCTGCTATATTTTAATTAAATTAATCAAGTTGACCAACTTGTCTGATCAAAAGAACCGTGTAAGATTAGAATCTCCAGAGAAGGTCCTTGAAAATCTATTTTAAGCAATGTTCCCATTAACTGGGCCAACTTGGGGAACTGCGCTAAGACCCTTTGCCATTTCCCGCATAGGCTGGCACCCACTCGCACCTCCTGATTTTGAGCCTAGCAGACAGACTTCTCCAGAATTCCTGCTCCAGAATCAATAATCTGTATAACCTTGCACAAATCAACCTTTCCAAGCTTCACTTCCCTTATCTGTGAATTCAGATAGTGGTGCTTCACAGGAATATTTGCAATCCAATGACTTACTGCACATGAAATAGCACATAGAGTGTCAATAAAACTTAACTATTTTGTATAATTTACTCAAACAGTTCTCTTACTGTGGAATGATATTTATCCAAAATTCACTTGTTGAAATATTTCATCTTCTTTCAAGACCCAATTCAAATAGCACCTTTTCCAAAAAGCCTTCCCATATACCTCTCTTACTTCAGTAAGAATTCCTTTTACTACCTTCTCTTCCTAATATATTCCATGAAGTTCTGTTATAATCATTATCAGTCTGTCTTATATGTAAATTATTTAGGAATACATCTATCTTTGCCACCAAATTACAGTCTCCTAAAGGACATGACTGGATTTTTTTCTCCTTCTTTCACCTTTCACAAGGTTAAACTGGAGCAAAAACATGCCACATGAAGGTATATCTTCTAAGAAATGTTCCTTCCACTAGATATGTCCCTGGGTTATGTCAGCTTCCCTGTGTTAGTTTAATGAACAAAAAACAACAAAAAAAAGTTACCACCTTGCTGGACCTTTCACAAAAGAAGAAATAAATAGCAATCATTTTTATTGTTATTTTAATTTTCAGGTTGTGGTATCAGCTAGTCATAGTTCTAACTTTACATATTATATTTCTACTAACCTTACTAATATTTAATAATTGTAGATATATTGGAAGAGATGAAGAAAGGAAAATAATAAGATGCCATTTTCAAGGCCTGTATAATAATACTCATTGCTTCACAATTAGCAATTGCAAGAAGACTTGAAAGATTTAGCCTGGGGTATATTTTCATTTTCTATTAATACTTTCCACTACACAAATGGCTAGCCATCTTCTGAGGCCCAACTATGTTTGGTCATAAGGTGTTTATTTCCACAGATTACCATCTCAGTTAGGCAAACAATACAATTCTGATATAAAGTACACCAGATAAGAACATAATTAAACATTTAGTATCTTTAGTAGGTTCAGGAGTTCTTTTCCCTACTAGTAGTAGAAACTAGTAATGAGAAGTAATGAAAATACTGCCCCAGGAGGTGATCTTTATTAAAAAATTTTAAACTGGAAGGTAAAAATTCATGTAGTGGAGTTTTGTTAGAAACTAATTAATATTGCCTTAAATAGTTAATATGAAAA